CTTGCGGGGGGGCCTCTAAGAACAAGGTGACGGTCTCCAAACACGTCTGGGATTTCCTGACCAAGGAGAGTCCGGCCAAGTTGACCCGTTTGAAGGAAGAAACCAAAGTGACCATCATGTCTGCCCGGCCAGGAAAGCCCTCAAAGCTCTCGTGAAAGAGACGGAGAAAGAGTTGAAGAAGAAAACTCAACGTCACGGTGACACCTTGAGTTGTGTCACCACCATCTTGGAACCCAGCGGAGCTCTGGGCAACCGCCTGGCGCTGCGGCTGCAGCGCAGGGGGGACAGGTCCCCGGGGCCGGGACAGTCCTGGGGACACGACGTCTTCACGGCCACCAGCCCCGAAATCGTTCTGGTGAGTGGGGGAGGAGGAGGAGGAGGAGGAGGAGGAGAGGAAGAACCCGAGCGTCAGTGTCCCATCTGCCTGGGCGAGATCCAGAAGATGAAGACGCTGGAGAAGTGTCGCCACTCGTTCTGCGAGGACTGCATCACGCGGGCGCTGCAGGTCAAGACGGCCTGTCCCATGTGCGGCCGCTTCTACGGGCAACTGGTGGGCAACCAGCCCCCCAACGGGCGCATGCTGGTCACCCGCGACGCCGGGCTGCTGCTCCCCGGCTACGAGAAGTTCGGCACCATCATCATCCAGTACGTCTTCCCGCCCGGCGTCCAAGGGGTAAGGTGGCACCGGGAACGTCCCACCACCCCACACAGCACCCTGGGGGCTCCTGAGGGGGTTGGGTGCTGCTGGCACCTGGGTGTCCCCAAAACTGTGCTGGGTGGCACTGGCACCCATGGGTGTCCCCAGAACTGCGCTGGGTGACACTGGCACCCATGGGTGTCCCCAGAACTGCGCTGGGTGACACTGGCACCCATGGGTGTCCCCAGAACTGCGCTGGGTGACACTGGCACCCATGGGTGTCCCCAGAACTGCGCTGGGTGACACTGGCACCCATGGGTGTCCCCAGAACTGCGCTGGGTGACACTGGCACCCATGGGTGTCCCCAGAACTGCGCTGGGTGACACTGGCACCCATGGGTGTCCCCAGAACTGCGCTGGGTGACACTGGCACCCATGGGTGTCCCCAGAACTGCGCTGGGTGACACTGGCACCCATGGGTGTCCCCAGAACTGCGCTGGGTGACACTGGCACCCATGGGTGTCCCCAGAACTGCGCTGGGTGACACTGGCACCCATGGGTGTCCCCAGAACTGCGCTGGGTGACACTGGCACCCATGGGTGTCCCCAGAACTGCGCTGGGTGACACTGGCACCCATGGGTGTCCCCAGAACTGCGCTGGGTGACACTGGCACCCATGGGTGTCCCCAGAACTGCGCTGGGTGACACTGGCACCCATGGGTGTCCCCAAGTCCTCATGGGTGTCACTGACCTAATGCTGCCACCCTTGGGTGTCCCCAGAGCTGTGCTGGGTGGCACTGGCACCCATGGGTGTCCCCAAGTCCTCATGGGTGTCACTGACC